TAAATATAGATGGATGTGTGTGGTAAAAAGATTTGTTAAAATGAGAATGAAAAGATTTGCACGCATTTGTAGTGCGTGTCAATTCTGCGGAATTTGCAGCCCAAATTTGAGGTGAATATCGAGCTTCATCACGAATGTAATTTGAAGTTAGATATTCTGCAAATTTTATAACTTTGTCATCGAAGGGTATTACTGATAGCAAATAAAAAAAAACAATATTTTACGTCTGTTGGAGATAAGAACATTAAACCGAAACAAGTTCTTAACCATTCGCCAATTGGAGAATTTTTATTTTTATATTCTAATACAAGTCCGAGTTCCTGAATTTTACGAAACAACGCTTCTGGCCAAACATTTTTTATACTATTATGAATAGCTGTTTCGAAATCAACAACCACTGCGGAAGGATTAAAAACAAAACCTTTTTCATTACACAATATACATAATTTTTTGAAGCAATAAGTGTATGTAATTTCTCGTTTATCTTTAAGGAGGCAGAAGGCCAAAGGAATACAACAACCATTAAAATATCCGTGAAAAGTGGAAATTTGTGTAAAAAAGGATGTCGCATAATCAAAAAAACCATCAATATATATATGTTCAGAAGAAGACATATTTTAAATTTGTATCAGTGCCGAAGATAATTAAATTTGATAAAGGATCATTTAAAAGCAAAAAATTCTCATTAAACTTTGTATTAACTGACATTTTACTTAAACTTTCATGAGTATCATTTAAATTTGTCGGAAGTGTTGGTAAAATTTTCCTACGCGCACGATATAAAATTTGTGTGGCATTTTTAAAATCTTTATATTTTAAATCTTTATGTTCTGATGTGACACACGAATGAAGTAACTTTGATGGCTTTTCACAAGGATCAGATGTTGCTTTCCTTTTTACACTAGCCAGAAGAGAAAGTTGTTGAACAGATTTTTCATCAATAGGCGAATGATTATGATTCATAACACTTAAATTTAAAAAAATTTCAAGCGGAGAAGTATTAGAGGAACGCAAAAACGATTTAAAACTTCTAACTGCACACATCCACCTTTCTTCACCACCAGCATAACTTTTATGAAAATGAAATTTAAATTCATTACAGATTAAAAGAGGCTTACCCTTTTCTGACGTAGATTCAACCAAAGAGAGAACGTAATTTTTGTCACAATCCATCTTTGCCGTATAAACGTCAAAATCAAACTAATTAAAAAAACAATAACATGATTTGTTGACACCTACATAACGCTACATTAGCGCCACCAAGATGAACTAAAGGCCTTAAAGCTCCTTTCATATTGCATTGCAATCCCATCCACTTAACCTCAAAGAGAAGACTTGGGGTTAAGAATTCCTTGCAGTAATATTTCAGTAATATTACTATAATATTATTCATTTATTAATAAAATATTATTTACAATAACCTAAAATAATGTTTATATATTAGAGCAACCTTGCTATGGTAAACGTTGTCATAGTAACCGTTGCTATGGTAAACGTCGCCATGGTGACCGTTGCTACGATTTCGAACTTTTTTTATATTGGAATCAAGTTAATTATTTGAAACAAATAGAATTTTTTTGAAACAAATAAGAATTTTATACTTGGCTCAGAGTCAAGAAATGTTATTTCATTCAAATCGCTGATAACTCTTTTATTATCAAATAAATATTTACTTGAATCAAATAAATTGTATTTCAATTAAGGGGTTTCCTAAATTTTTTTGGTCAAAAAAATCGAATTTTTTTTTCATTTTTTGATAAGAAAGTATGTTAAGAATGTGTGGTTAAATCATTAGATCGTAATTCGCTCATAATCTTAAGTTATTTAACAAAATACACATATATATGCGTCTACAGATCGTATAATTAACCCTTTCGTGACCACGATAAACCGAGCGAATGGAATTGCTTGAAATTCGTTACTCGGGGGTTATTGGGGTCTCTGATTACGAATTTAATGTCAGTTTTTAAAAATTCAAAATCATCATATTCTTACGAATATGATGACAGAATTCGAAAATTCAAATATAAAAAAGGTTTTTTGGTTTGCTGATAATAAACCCGACATGGTCATGGACGCAGTATGGACAATTCATCATATTCATATCATTTCATCATTTTCGAGCAAATCCGATTAGTTTTCAAATTTTCGTCCGCCATATTGGATCCGCCATTTTGAATTTTTAAATTCTGACATCATATTCGTAATCAGCGACCCCAAAAACCCCCGAGTACCAAGTTTCGAGTAAATGCAATTGATTTTTAACTTTCATGTCCGCCATATTGGATCCGCCATTTTGAATTTTTAAAATCTGACATCATATTCGTAATCAGCGACCCCAAAAACCCCTGAGTAAGAATTTTCAAGCTGATTTAGTTACTTCTGCTTGACTCATTATAACCTTTTGATATCAATACTTTAAACGCTTTTTTCTCAAAACACTATATTTAAAAATGGTAACCAGTAGAACTCAAAAACCGTTTGACCGATTTCAAAAATTCAAGTTGCATTCGATTCAGTGGAAGTTTTTGCAGGTCCTAAACCTCTAATATATTTAAAATATTCAATAATCAGGTTTTTGTGAGTGATTGATTGTCAAAAAAATGGTGTTTTTTCAGTTTTTTGGGTTCTAAAGCTTGCCATTTTTTTAATTTTTGATTTTTTTTAATATCTCGAGGTTTAGGACCTGTATTAGGTCTTAAACTTTAAAATCACGTTTGATTTTTTTATTTTAGATGATTCTGCGATGAGCTACAGTGGTTACCGTAAAAGATCTTGATTTTGACCAGTGTACATAGCGACCTCTGTAGAAGGAGCATAATAATATTTTTTAAGATCGCAATTTTTTTTAAATAGTTCTTGACGTATATAGTAACATGTAAAAACTTTTGATCAATTATATTTTAAAACTTATGAGTACACGATCTTTTAAAAACCTTCTATTTTAGGGCAAAAAAATTTAGGAAACCCCTTAATTATTTAAGTATTAATTAAGTATTGTAACAAACATCCAAGAGTTTATTATTGCCAGAAAAGTTTTTGAATTTTTTCTTCTATAATATATAAAGCGAAGAAATATAATTTTAAAAATATTCATGAAAAATTTATCTAGTTAATTTGGAATTTTTTTTTTTTGATAATTTACAATAAAAAATTAAATAGAACATGAAATAATTTTTAAAAATGATAATATATAAAACATTAAAATTCCTATCTTCTGTTAAATTGAAAAGGATTAGCAAAGGTGATGATATAATTATAAACTTTTTAAAAATTAACATTTTTAATGCAAACAACATATGCACAAATTCGCAATTAAATAAGGATTCCGAATCTAATAACAAAAACTTAAAAATGCTAATATTAAAAAAAATTTTTTTTTTTAAAGAAAATCCATTAAGGAAATCTCCTTAATGAGGGATTAAGGGACCCGGCTCCCCGCGGTGCTACCTTCGCTCCGAAACTCGAACGCAGGCCTCTGGCCGCGTGGTGGGGGAAGCTAACTTCCCCTTAGGCCCGGCGCACACTAGGCGATTTGTGTCGACCGACAAAAAGTCGGTCGACAAAATTGCCCCCGTCGACTGGAGAAGAGCATAGGCGAGCGCACACTAGACTATTTTCCACCGACACGACAAAAGTGTCGGCGAAATGGACTCAACAACCGACTGTCGGCGAAGCAGTCGCTTATGGAAACCAATGTATGAGCGCACACTAGACGACAATTTGTCGGCCGTTTTTCTAGGTTTCATGTAGATTTTCTCCACAGAAAATTATAAGGTATTAAAATAAGCTGCAACGCTTATTATTTTAATCCAATTTTGCTTATTTTAATACCAAAATGGATTAAAATAAGTAAAATTGGATTAAAATAATAATAATAATTAATTTTCTGTGTCTGTACCGGGATTCATTTTTAGTAGAATGCTGCTTGCTTGCAGTTTTGCAGTGCACGGTGAAGTAAATTGCCATTAACTCGATAATTAAAAAGTGATTATATTGTCATTAGTGCATTGCCATGCTGGCAGTAGCCGTTTCACTCCCGTAGGGGAAGTGGTATACCCCCACTCTATCGTCCGGGCCGGTATTTCTTTGAAATTTATTTTTCTTATACTACTATTTGAGACTAGCTTTCATCATTTAAAATTTTTTTTGGCTTTTTTTCTCAATAAGTTTCAAAGATATCTGAAGATCTATTTAAAAAAAATTTTTTTTTTGAGAATACATTTATTAGATAAATTCATTCAAAATTTTTAAATATAAACATTTTTAATTGGATCAACATATGCCTGTAATCGTGAAATTCTAAGGAATGCGAATATGTTAACAGAAAATTAAAAATATTTATAATTAAAATTTTTATTGTTTTTTTGGAAAAACTCATTAATAGCCATAAACTACAAGTGACATTAGGCCCGAGATCGCCACTCCGGACCCCCGCGGTGCCTTATTCACTAGAACACCGAGTTTAGGCCCGGCCAGTAGAGGGGGGTATATGATTTCCCCTCACGGGAGCGAAACGGTCATGCATTGGTATGCACTAGATGAGTTTTCGTCGTCAGTTGACAAATTCTTGTGATCAGTTCAGTTGTACTTTAAGTGAAAATGTGTGATAATTTAGACAACGATTATCTTATTTCTTTAGTGCAAATGAGACCTGCACTTTGGGATAAAACCACAGACATTTTTAAAGATAGAAATGAAAAAAAAATGTTGGGAAGAAGTGTGTGAGGAATTAAATAGGAATTACCCTACAATGGAATCGAAAGACAAAAACAACTATAGTAAGTATTTTATATTTTAATAATTATTACATTAGAAAATTACTTTAAAAGTCACGTACAAGTATTAAAATTCTAATATTTAGAATGATTTTTTTAAAGTTTCCCTTTATAAAACATTATTTGAAAATGAGCAACACTAAATGGCTGAAGTAACTAATTAAGTGGTAATAGTAACTAATAAAAATTAGCAACAACATTCTTACTAACTAAATGGTACTCTTAACCAACCATTTCTCTCAGTGTAGGAATTTCAAAGTATATTTTGCTCATTTGCCAAGGCACAGATCCTACGTCTGTTAGAAAATAGTTTCCTAATACGTCTCTCACAGAATTTGCTGAAATACCAGCTTGTACGGATTGATCTGGTTGCAAATCTTCGAGTCCAATTAACGTTGTTGTGTGTTCGGGAACAAAACCGCCCTTATCACGGATAAAGTTGTGCAGAACAACACAAGCTTTGATAAGGATATTTGCAAAATTAGGATGGACGTTAAGAGGACGATGGAAAATTCTCCACTTATTAGTTAAAATGCCAAAAGCGCATTCAACAAAACGTCGAGCTCTACATAACCTATAATTAAATATTATTTTCATGCGTGTTAAATGTGATCCCCCATATGGCCTCATTAAATGTTTATGTAGGCCGAATGCTTCATCTCCAACTAAAAAGTGGGGAATTTTTTGATCTGAAGTACCAGGCAAACATTTATCTTCTGTCAATTCAATTAAATTAGATTCAATTGCTTTCCAGAGATTTCCTTGCTTAAATATAGAAGAATCTCAATCTTTTCCAAAGCTTCCAATATTCACATTTGTGAAGCGGTATTTAGAGTCCACAACAGCCATTAAAACAATGGAAAAGTACGATTTATAATTAAAATACATTGATCCGCTTTTTAAGGGGCGTACCAAACGAATGTGTTTCCCATCCACAGCTCCAAGGCAATAAGGAAAATTTGCATCTTTTTCAAAATCATCACTTATTTTTCCCCATCTTTCCTTTGTTACTTCTGGAATGCATTCATCCTTCATGATTAGCCAAATGGCTGAGCAGACTTTCTTGACTATTTTCCTTGCTGTTGAGGCACCAATTTTAAAGTTGTAGTGCAGGTCAAGAAATGTATACCCACTTGCAAGATACCTAAAAAAAGTTCTTTTTTAAATATTTTTTACATTAATGTGTTATTTTATTGTTACAGTGAAAGGTGTCATGAGCAGATGGGGTAATCTGCGAGATAGCTTTGCACGAGCAAAAAAAATATGCAAAGCAGTAAAAGGAGTGGTGCTGGAGTCTCAAGGGTTACCAAGCAATATATATACCACCAGCAGCTACTATTTTTATCAAAACTGCATGATTCTACAGAAACTACCGACAGTTTGGATGTAGAGAACAATTCCGAAGACGAAGATATTGAAGTCTCGGATTTGGATAAATCATCGGAAAACATGGAAGTAGATTTTTCACCTAGACCGCAAAAAACTGGTAGAAGGAACAGTTGCACAAAAAAACCAAAACACCAATGAATTTGAAAAAAACTTGCTGACAGCGCTGTCATCTCATTCAAATCCACATATGGATTTTTTTCAGAGTTTAGTTCCTCATTTGAACGGATTTGATGACGATGAAATTCTTGATTTTAAAATGAGGGTTTTGCAAATAATTTCAAGCATAAAAGATAAGAAGAAGATGGTTCACCAATCAACTTATATTGCTTCACTATTTACCGGATATCAACATAACCCTTTTACCGTCATGCAACCTCCGCCACAAATACCATCATCCCCTACCAGTCGTACATATTCCAATACCATTCCAAGACATTCTCCTTATCCTCAAAGAGAAACTACTTCTCATCCTTCTTTATCATATACGTATTATGACAATTTATATAATGCCCCCTCTCCTCAAAATCCCTACTCATTACCCAGTCCTTCATCTGCCTCAATGTCCTCAGAGAATTCAAATGATTATTCTACACAAAATTAAATACTTTCTCTCAACATATGCCATAAAAAGGGCGTTTTTGTAAGCTCAATTACAAATAATTTAGTAATAAATAAAGAAAATGACTTTAAACATTGTTGTTTTATTTCAGGCAAATTTTAACTATATTTAATACATATTATTGAATTTTAATAGTTAGAGATTAAATTCTTTAACTTCTTCTTTATTAAATTCTTTCAGAAACTAACAACGTCATTCAATTCTACGTGAAAAATTGCCAAATATTTTCTACGTGAAAATAAAAATTTTTAAATAATTTTTAGAAAACAAAATATATTTTAAACAAAAAAATTGCAGTAACTAATAGAGAATAAAAAAAACTTACCTCAATGTAATACCGAGCATTTCCACTGTTGGAATGCTATTTCTAAATGTAGTCTCTTCAGATTTAATGACGTCCTTCAGTCCGTCATGCAATTCATCGAAAGATGACTTTGACATTCGAAAGAAATTGAAAAATTTGTTTTCGTCCTCTCGAAGCCTCAAAAATAGTTTGTTAAATTGTTTCTCACTTTCTCTCAACTGATTGATCGGATGCACCCAATGAGCTCGCTTTACACTTTTTCTATTTCGCATGAGATGACGACGACGTAAAAGATAAGCAGCGATAACTTTATTTCTAATATTCATTTTTATAAAATTCACGTAAAATAATATTCTCGATGTACGCAGTTAACAGGTTTAGAAACGACTCAGAGCATACCTGAAGTGCAATGAATCTGCTTACCTGAATTTTGGGTCGCTTAACGACAAGTTGGTCAACAAACATCCTCTAGACGACAATTTGTCGACCGTTGTCTTACGTTTTAGGTAGATTTTCTCTGTACCGAGATTCATTTTCTTTAACTGAACGTACTTATGCGATTTACTTATAAAGTACAACAATTATAGTTTAATATTAATCCTTTTTAAATTGGATTATATTTAAAGAATAATATAAAAATTATGATTATATAAGTAATAATAGAATTAATTAATAGCTATATATATAATGTATGATAATAATAATAATAATAATAGTTATTATTAAATAACTGTCAATTAATTTGGTGATTAATTAATAAATAAAAATTTTGAAAATAAAATTTACTCTCTCTAAATTTGAATTAGTTAAAAATAACTAATTATCAGTAAAATCGTTGCTCACGATAAGTTATCATAAATAACTATTATTTAATTTGTTAATTAATTACTTAATAAATTAAAATTAATATACATAATTGAATGTACACGCTTAACCACAGGTCGGCCGACAAAAATCGTTTAGTGTGCGTTGCCAGCTTCGCCGACAGAAAATCGACCGACTTTTTGTCGGTCGACACAAATCGGCTAGTGTGCGCCGGGCCTTACGGGAGCGAATTGATAACTGCCCAAAAAAATTATGTGACATTGCATTTTACGATGCCCATTCACTAATGAGCGCCTAAGTCTGCCGTTGCAGACTCGGCAGATTCAACGGCAAGCTCGAGCGCTCGGATTACAAAACTGAAAAAATTTTTCTCGAAAACAAAAAATAATGCCATTTAAAAAATTTAACTATCGTTTCATTAGGATATAAGCTAAATGTGTGAATTTTTTGGAGCTTGAAAAGTAGGGAGAACACATTTAAAAGTTAAAAACAAATTTTATTGTTTAAATAAATTAATCAAAAATTAACTTTTTTTTCTTCTAATATTTTTTTTTATAAAAATTCAACTAATTCTGCGTAAAAAACATTTATACATTTTTTTTCTATTTTCATTAGAAAAAAGTTATGAGTGAAAGAAAAAAAAAGTCAAAATTTTTAAATGCAAATATTTGCGAAAATATGCAAAATTTTTAATTCAAATTTGGTACACTTATTTTGCACCCTAAGAACAACATTTTTTTAAATATTGAGGAAAATCCGAGATTTGACCCCGTCTTCTTATATGAAACGTCTCTTATATTAATTTCCTGCATTGGATTAGGATTGATTCGCGGTACAGGGTCATTGAAAGGAATTGCTCCAGGGTTTTGTCCATTTTCCTGAACTGCGACAGGTCCATCATTGAAATTGTTAACTCTCACATTTCGTATATTTTCCTCATGGTCGACGGAAGCATTGTTGAGATTTACATTAATTTCCCCTTCATTCGGATTTGCAGACGGAATTGAAGAATTTAAATTTGCACTTGAGGATTCTTGAATCCAAGACTCATTTTCTTATAGGAGAATAAAACTTTCTTTGCAAAATATTTCCAAAATTTCATCGGTATCGATTTCGGTTCCATCAGATTCAAGGCAAAGATGGATTCCACTGATTCCTAATTTTAAATTTGCATTGGAAATCACGAGATCTATAATAATAAAATAAGATACAGTATTAAAATTAAGAGATCACCCATTTTCAGAGGAATTAAACAAATTTTAAAACATAAAATTTATGAAAACTAAAATTTTTTTCGGTATATTTTTTGAAAGATTAATAATTTAGCCACGGAAGAATAGTAAGGAGACCGATCTTGCTGTAGTAGCGCTTCTGAAAATGTCAGAAAATCATGTATGATAAATGCCAGTTTCACTGCATTTTACTCAACCACCAAAGTAGCTGAGCATGCGCATTAGCCATGTGCTGTCTCTTTCTCTCGCAAAAAGTGTGCGAGTGAGATCTGGCTGACGTATATTTCTCAAGTCTTACATGCGTGTTGTGATGAAGAGCTTATGTGTTATTATTGTTATTATTTTAAAAATTATTATTAATGTTTATTTTATATACTTACACATGATTTTGGAGATACAATATCGCAATGGTAAATAAAATTTCTGAAATAAACACTGAACACTAAGATTTTTTTTGTGACATATACGTATATCGCATAACCACACTTTTCATCTGTCAAAATTGAGGTCCAATGCGCATGCTCAGCTACTTTGGTGGTTGAGTACAATGCACTGAACCTGGCACTTATCGTACATGTTTTTCTGACATTTTCAAACGCAGAGATCGGTCTCCTTACTATTCCTCCGTGGATTTAGCGAACTTACAACTGAAGTTCGATCATAATTATATGAATAAGACTTGTTCGAAGATATAACTATGTACAGTACCGTAACTTGTTGTCGGATGTCGCCACTGTTCAGATATTTCTTTAAAGAGAGAGAGATAGATCCCTCTCTGTTCACCCTCTTCTCTTGCTGGTTCTCGCTTCATTTCGTTTAAAGCTTTGGATTTGCAAAAAAATATTTCTTTTTTTGTATTTATTTTAATTTGGGTTGGGTTGAGAACCTTTTTATAAAAAGGGAGGGAGTATATGTGACGCTCCACGAGAAAAGGGACCTATCGTCAAAAAAATTGATTTTGAGATTTTAATGCCAACCGATAGTTTTTGAGTTCCTCTTTTATATGCAAAAAACAGAAATAGTAAAACTTTAATATTATTAATAATACAGAGCATTTAAAATAGGCATGTCAACCCAAGGCTCCATTTTTGTGGGCGTTAAATTTATTTTTGGAAATTTATTTATTGTTATTATTATATATTAATAATTAATATTACTTAATTATTATTATATAAAATTTAAAGATAAATATTACATTCTCATTAGAATAAGTTTATTTGATTAACGAGTTCTTAATTTAATAAAAGTGTAGAGATCGACAACACGTCAACTTAATTTTAAATGAACAAACGCTCAAATTTGTCTGAAAAAGTGAAATACTTAATGAATAATAATAAGAAAAAATAATGTCATGGACGTTAAAAATATTAAATAAATATAAATAACATAAAAAATTATTATAATTAATATTATTTAATTAGTGATAATAAAATAAAACCTGTTTCTTGTCTAAAAATTAGAAAAACTATAGAAATTGAGTAATTTTTATGTTTGTAGACATCATAATTAATTTTTAAAATTATCATTGATTTATAAATTAATTACAGATAATTTTCAAATTTTTTCATGAGCGACGAATTTAAATATTTATATTATTGTTATATTCTACAAATTAAAATTAAATTATAATTTACTTTTCGTCAAAAATAAAATACTTTTTCCTTTTTATATTTTTTATTTTATATTTTGAAATATTATTTGATGTTTGATAAATAATAATAATAATAAAATAATTATACACATTTATATTATTTTATTAGAACATAAATTTAATTTAAATAATAAAATAATCATTATATAATCGTAAATAATAACGAGTGTCTATATACCATAAAACAATAAGCAAAACTTTTAAAATATTAATTACATAGCGTAGTAGATTTTGTTTTAAATAACAATTTACTATTTTATGGGTCTTCTTTCTCTTAAATAATTCTAGGTTTCTTTGCTTTTGTAGTTTTCACCTCAGGAGTTTTTGTATTTTCATCAGTGAGATCTTCCGATGATTTTTTATTTTTTTTTGCTTTTGAGGTTTTTTGTTTTTCATCAATGGCATTTTCCAATGATTTTTTATTTTTTTTTGCCTTAGAAGTTTTTGGTTTTTTATCATTAAGATCATCTGGTGATTTTTTATTTTTTGTTGCTTTTGTGGTTTTTGGTTTTTCACCAATAGTATTTTCCGATGATTTTTGATTTTTTGTTGCCTTAGAAGTTTTTGGTTTTTCATCGATAACAGCTTTCAATGATTTTCGAGAGTTTTTTATTTCTTTTGAACCAATGGAATCCTTTGATGTTTCTTTCAAATTTTTCGAATTTGATAATATTACTGGCGCATTTGGCTACGGAGCAAAAAGGTCTTTGCAGGAATCTTTATAGCAAAGCGGCCGAATTTCCTTGAACAAATACCAGGCTCTTTGCGCAGATATTCCTTTAGGTTCAATCAAATTTAAAGGCAAGACTTTTTCATTTAACGATGTGGCTTTTCGAAGTTCGACTTTTTCGGAATCTGCAAGAAGTTTTGCTTTGATGGATCCGTCATGAAAAAATTTAAAATGGTGGTATTTCGATATATTTGGTATCGATTTGAAATATTGTTGTAAATGTTTATCCCACTCAGCCCAAAAAACGTTGCGGGTTTTAGTTTTTGGATCCTTGCTACGCATAGCAATATTAAATTTATTTGGCGAAGACGTATTAATGACTTCAATGAAGTCTTCATGACAATCGACAATCGATTTTGAAAATTTGGTCTTTACAATTCCGAAATTTCGATCAGGCGAAAATTTGGTGTGCCCGGTTAACAAAAAATTCAATTCGATTGATTTGTTCTTATTTTTCATGACTCTCCACAGGAGATAATGGAGAAGTGCGTTATTCTTATTTTGTCCAACGCAGTTATTAGCAAACAGAATGATATTTTCTGCAGAATTATTATTAAAATAATAATCCAACATACTAATGACTGCGTTGGCACCTTTCCCCGTTATATCCTCTTCGACAATTGTTATATTCGTTTGAATATGCGTTGCCTCATTATTTATCCCAAATAGACCGCATTTTCGGTTCGCCTTAAAAAAAGACGAACCTACTTGCTGCGGACTACTGGGATATAAAAACAATCTGAGCATAATCAAAAGAAAGGACGAGGAGAGAAGATAAATTTTTATCTTTAGATTTAACTCGATATAAGTTGTAGAATTCGCGTTGATTTTTGGCATCATTCAAATGCTTGATCGAAAATTCCAAAAGTGCAGCTTGTTCTTCAATTG